GACAGATGGCCTTAACGTAACGCAGTGCTGCTTGAGCAATAGGAAGCTATACACTAACGTTGTAATTTAATCTGAGGGCTTTTCTATTTAAAAGCTTTACAGCATTTTCCAGATTCACATCACTCATTTTATACCCTGACCTACTAAACAAAATTGTAACTATGCATTTTCAAATCGGAATCGATCCATATATCAACATATCAACGTTTGCTATCCTGTCTTAACTTTCCCTTTAAGTGATCAGTTTCAGTTCACCTAAAAATTTAAATTGTATCATTCTCATCCTCTCCAAGCCATATGAGTTTCTTCAGTTGAGCACTAAAGAAGATTTTGACGAATGTTAGTAACCAAACAGTTGCTAGTAGCCATTGATTACCTTAGTATGGAAAAAAAAATACCATGCAAGTCAATGGCTACATTATTTGAATATTTCATAATGAGAGGGGCGTTTATGCTGTCAAACTCATCGTTAATAAAATGAATCTGAGTTCTGCCCTTTAGTAAGTCAATCACTCAATCAACTGTTCACAGAAGCACTTTTGAGCGAATCATGTGACGATTACTGTCTAGATATCCAGCAGGGGGTGACATACATTTGCTCTAGAACAGGGGTTCTCAAACCTCTCCATGAAGTACCCACAGCACTGCACGTTTTGTATGTCTCCCTATATCTGACACACCCACTTCAGGTCTTGCAGTCACCACTAATGAGCTGATGAGTTGAATCAGGTGTGATAGATGAGGGAGACATACAAAATGTGCAGGGTGGGGGGTACTCCAGCACAGGTTTGAGAACCACTGCTCTAGAAAAATAAAAAATAAAATCTGCTATTTATAAATGAAAACACCAGTGAACATGAATTTCTTTATTTTATTTCTTCATTATTCTTAAGTAAATTTATTTGAAATGAACATCTTATAACACACCTCTGCTGTACATGTTGACGTCCTTCAGGCTGGATCAAGTCAGTGATGGAGGTCAAGCTACTCTATATTATTTACAAAGAAGCCATTTACTGTGTTTTTAATTCCAAACAAATCTTCTGTCTCTCAACAGAGAGATTGACAATGACATGTCAGCATACATAAAATTCCTGCACCACAACCCTGACGAGAAATATGTCACAGACTGAGTAATTTACAGTATTGATGACGCAACTGTGTGTGTGTCAGACTTTTGGACCTGTTTTGCCTTATTTGGTCATGTTCCTGTCCTCGTTTAGTTTGATTATGTTCCATTGATGTCACCTGTGTTCCCCTAATTGCCCTGCGTCCTTATATATGAAATAAATGCACATCTGTGAATGTCCATCTTGTTTTGACGTACTTGAATCAAGCCATTTTAAGGGGTCAAGCTACTCCTTAGTTATTTAGAAAGAAGCAATTTATTACCTATGCTTTCATACGTCAAATTCCTGCACCACAACCCTGAGGAGAAAATGTCACAGATTGCTTTAGTGAGTAATTTACAGTAGTTGAGGATGAAAGTGTGTGTGTGCGTGTGTGCGTGCGTGTGTGTGTGTGTGCGTGTGTGTGCGCGTGTGTGCGTGTGCGCGTGTGTGCGTGTGTGTGTGTGTGTGTGCGCGCGCGCATACAGGTTGGGCAGACACATATATTATGCAGGTGTTAGTCATGTGAGATCAGTCGATTGGCTGGAAACGCCTGCTTAGAAGCCCTTAAATACAAGCTGCATTCAGATCGATAACAGGTTTAGGATTTGAGGACCTTACCAAATCAGGTCAGCTCTTGGTCAAACTGATCACTCAAACCTGCTAGAGAAGCAATGGGTTCTAAGAACAGCAAAGGAGTGTGCAAGAACTGTAAGAGCAACTACAATTATAAACAAAAAAAGCGTAATCGTCAAAATCGCACACTTGTCAATGTTTATAAAATGAGTACAGAAATGGGTGGTTTTCAACCCGGTGATATTAACTTAACTTATGAATGCTGTGATGGTTCTGGAACCGTTGATCCTACGGGAGGAGTCTGCTATGTAGATTATGGATATGGTCTGGGAGGCTGTGCAGATGTAACTGGTCTGGGAGGCTATAATTATTTGGGAGGCATGGATTTTACTGGAGGCCTAAATGGTTTAGGAGGCTGTACAGACTTCAGCGGTCTGGGTGGCTTTGATTTCTCTGGAGGCTGCAATGATTTTGGAGGCTTCGGTGATATGGGAGGCTTTGACTTTGGTTTTTAAATTAGTTCAGGCAGGTGAGTAACATGTGTTTGATTACCATTGAATGGACTGCTTTCTAATATATATATATATATACAGTATATATACAAAATGTGTCAAACAAGCTTAGCTTTGATTTAAAATGATCTACTGACACTTGCTACTCATGCCATTTAGTACATTTATTTATTTGAAAATATCTTGAATTAAGTTAATTTTTCACAGCCCATTGAAATAAACATCATTGCATGTCATTACATTGATTTCAATAAGAAAACAATTTTCTGATGAAGAAAAATATATAATTAAAAAAAATAGTTTGTAAGTCAATTTTTAAGACAGGTAATGTAAGAATGTTAAAATATTTATACTTGAGAACAAGGCAAAACTGTATTTTTCAGTGCATTTGGAGGCATGACAAACATTTAATTCTATACTGAATCTTTTTTGTCTCAAGTGCATAAATGGATTTGGAGACGCTGCAGCGCTCAGGACAGCTTTCGGATCCAGTGAAGAGCATCATCCAACACAAAGCCAACAGCACTGCAATCAACAATAACCATCAGGACATCTTTAGTGCCATTATGGATATTAAACATCATCAAGACAATGTTATCTGTGCAATCAAATACAGTTCCAGCCAAAAGACCAATGTCAACGGAATAATTTAATTAAATGAGGAAATACTTTAACCTGTGTCTGATTTTAAATATAGATTGAGTGTGAAAGAACTAATCTAAATAATAATAATAATACATTGAGGTAAGCTGGTTGTTGTTGTTTTTTTAAGTTTTGTAAGGTAAGCGTTTCCCAAAAATGAAGACCTGAAAACAAGTCTGACAACATTTGTGAGCCTCTTTCTGAAGGTTTGATGATATGCCATGAGACAAATGTCTAGTGCTTTGCCTTTGACTCAGATTCTCACTTTGTTAAGAGGTTTTGAAGTCACTGTGTTGAAAACTAATGACAGATTGTAAAGATTCAGTCATGTTAGACTTTGCACTCTATTCACCTCCATCCATGTGACTTTTGGGCAAAGAAAACAAACTCAAAGCTGCCGGGAAAGTGAAGTGGTTTAAGAAAAATGGAAATTCTTCTCATTCTTTTTTAAATTGTGTTCTTACAAGTTATGTTTATGTTGCAGTACATATTGTTGAAATATACTGTGCATGCTATAAAAGCCAAAGAGGGAGTAAACAGGGAACGAGTGTATGATATTACCACTGTCTTCTGATTTTGATTAAAAATGTGAACTTTGATGTGCTTACTATATGCTTAGTAGAGATATACGAGTTAAAACAATCATAAATAAGTTAACATGTAACCTTGTTATTTTTATTCATTTCTTGACATAATTGTTTGGTTTTTAACTTTGGTAGTTGTCTCCTGCTAATAAAACATTCATGAAGTGATTAGTGGTGTCTTGGATTTGATGCCATCTCCAATTTAAGTCAGATAGTTATTTCTATGAGACTAATAAACTATTAAAATTCACTATATGATGTACTGTACATTTTGTAGTTTCTTGAATTCTCACATCTTGTTATTGAAACCAGTTCTGTAATCAGAAACCATCTGAGTCTGTGAACATTTCTGAAATACACTGGGGAGATTATTTTTTTCTTCAGGCTCCTCACCTTTCGCTCTAATAACAGATTTGATGGGATTTACATTTTAAAAAAATATGTATGTTCATGTCGCAAGCCATTTTTTATTTGCATAGCATGTTTTACAATCATTGTTGTTTCAAAAGCAGGTTTACAGAAAATCATGTCTTAAAGGAGACTGAGTTGAAATTAAACTTTGAAATGAAATTTTTAGCAACATACAATGCCAGTGAATGGTCCCCAAAACTTTGATGCTCCAAACATTGCATAACACTGCATAAATGTAAGTCATACTATTCCAGGTGTTTAATTATTCTCTTCTGTAGCAACATTATTATTTTGGCAGAGAACAAAACTAAATAAATATGAGTCATTTTTTCACTATAAATATTGATTGTTTGTTCAGATCGACAGGAAGATGCTGCATTGAGAGGCGGAGCACAAATAAACCAATCCTGAGCTCCGTGGGCGGAGCCACACATGATTAACAGGGATCACTGATTAAAAATCAAAGTCAAAACACCTGAAGTGATGTTTTTTAAATCATATGTGTGTGTTTTAACCTCAATTAAGAATACAAGGGTAATTCAAATGAAAAAATTCAAATGACTCAATGTCATTGGCTTTTTTTTTTTTATTCATTATTTGAATATCAATTCTGATTGGCCGGTTTTGTAATGAGATGAGTTTATGGTGTCAGATCATGAATATTTTTGGCCCATTTTTTCAGAAGACAGTTTTAGATGTGGGCTGCATGCACTTTCCTCGGCTGCGTTCCACTTCACTTTTAGTCACACATTCACAAACGTCCCTAAGCACTTCCCCTTTGGGAAATTCCCGCTGCCATTTTGAAATGCGTTCTACTTCATGAAGTAGACGAGGGAAGTGTATAAGGACAGACACAGACCATCGCCCCCTTGAATCTAACCATCTGTAAAACAAAATGTAAATAACAAATCAACTCCATAGCATATTCTAAGTAATCAAGGGCTTAGGATGTTCCAATACAGCCCATTGCAAGGGTTCAGCCAGTAGTGGGCACTCGTGCAATGTAGTCTAATCAAAGACGTACATCTGAGTAAACGAGACGGAGGGAAGTTAGCGAGTGAAGGGCATACAAAACGAACTGGAACTCAGCCCTCGATAACTTCCCTCCATCTCGTTAACTCGGATGTACGTCACTGATTATGTTGCACGAGTGCCCACTACTGGCTGAACCCTTGCAATGGGCTGAATTGGAACATCCTAAGCCCTGGATCACTTGGAATCTGCTATGGAGTTGATTTGTTATTTACATTTCTTCCTTTAAGAATTTGTTTGATGCAGCATCCTATATGTATATGAGAGTGTGTCTAAAAGTGGAACGCTGCCATGGTAGAGGTTTATGTGACTTTATTAGCACATGAAAGATCTCAGAGCTATAGACATTAAATAAAAGCTACACAACTCACATTTGGATGTCACTGAGTCTTTAAATCAACATTGATTATCTTGATAGTCTTAAATGTCGTGTGTTTGTTATTTGATAGTGCAGCATGTGGTTCATTGCTGATTTCTTTGCTCTGTTTTCACACTTCTGTCTCTGTGTGTTTATTTGTGCAACATCCTCCATCTAAACTGATGAAGTCATTCACTGTGGATTCAAGCACTTCCTTATTTCTCAACATATTCCTGCTTTTAAATCATAATTGATCATTTTATCCTGAACTACTGAACAAAATCATAACAGTGCAGCTTCACAATGAACAGTGTATCATTTTATGGGGTCAAAGTCCTCAATATTACAAGCTTCTGTTATTCTGTCTTTGTGTTTCCTTTAAGTGATCAGTTTAATTTGTGAACATCTCATATGTGTTTGTACAAATCCTCAAAATATTACCAGAGGTCACCATCTCCTGCTCCTGACATCAACACTGATGTGCATTTTAGTCCAGTAATGTTGTTCACTTGTTGAGGGAGGGACACTGATATTTCCACTGCTGGGTATAAAACAGTGTTAACCACAAATAGTCTGTCTACAAGTGTATGTGTTAAAAGAGTCAGTCATTTAGCTGCTGCTGATCTGATGAGCTTCAACACGGTAAGACAAACACACTCGTACTTTAATGAAAACTGATGATTATTGCTCATATAACATACGTGTCTTAACGTGATAATCGTTAAGAATAGGTTGATGTACATACAGCACAAGTTATGATTATAAGTGCTGATTAATGCTGTATTATAGATATATTTGACGCTGATGTCGGTCAGAATGGCTCCTCGTCTTCCTCTGATCTTTCTGCTCATGATTCACGGTGAGTCTCTGTTACATTCACATCACAAACACTCTGATGACTTTATTTAAGGCCTCACAATGAGCGGCTGATGAGCACTTTCTTCTGTCCTGTTCTCACATATTTCCTTTTAAACAGGAAGTTAAGGTGAGAAACGTCAAAGTGCTTGTGCCTTTTATAAATATCCAGTAGTCTTCTGTTATTTGCTAGTCAGTGTCATGTGGTTTAGGAGGGACGTGCTCATTGTTCAGAGCATCTGATTGGACCAAAAATCTGTCTAACACTAGAATATTTCTGGCTCATGATCTCAGAAGTGAATATGTTAAATATGTATTGAGTTCAGTAGCACATAGATGAGCTCACATCTGGTAAACGTGAACTAAAAGCCACATTTTGATGTCATTGGGTATTTAATAAATCAACTTTGATTATTTTTTTAGTCTTGTTTTTCATTATTTGATAGTGCAGCATGTTCTTTTCATGTTCTTTTTCACTCTTTTGTCTCTGTGCTTTTACTTCTGCTTTTCTGCTACTGATGATGCACTTCACATCATTAATAGATTCTGAGAAACTTAGCTTATAGTTCTTCTAACAAGTTGCTGTTTTAAAGTATTAAAAAAGTGTCATCTGTTTGTAGTCCATTATAATTGATAAAACAACATTTTCATCCTGTTGAATTCTGTGTTTCAGGGGTTTCTGGTGCTGTGAGTACAGATTAATTTGTTCTTTAAAAACCTGGAAATTGTGTTTGAATGAGATGATATAAGGATTTAATATGTATCCTTTATAGATGTACCAAAGAATGTTTCAGTGTCCATCAGTCCATCTGGTGTAATAGTGGAGGGCGATTCAGTGACTCTGAGCTGCAGCAGTGATTCAAACCCTCCTGCAGAAATCAGCTGGTTTAAAGGAGGAAAGTTTGTAGGATCTGGAAGAATCTACAGCATCTCAAAGATCAGCTCTGATCACAGTGGAGAATACAAGTGCAAGTCCAGAAATGAACATGGAGAGAAATACTCTGATGCTGTGACTTTAAACGTCATGTGTGAGTTATGCATCATATTCTATATTTTAACCACACACACCTGCTTTTTTCATTATTTGTCTGTATATTTTGTGGTATCTAGTCCTGTTAAACATACGGTGTGTATTTTTGTCTGTATTTCAGCAGTCAGGTGTTTCTCATCAGTAGCTCTAGCTGGTGTTGCTGCTGTCGGTGTTTTACTCGGTGGAGCATCCGGTGCTTTCGTGATGTACATTTGGTAAGACGTTCCTTTCAGAAATAACTGCTGTATGTTTGCAGTGTTAAAATATACTTGTTTACCACGCATGCATGTATAACAGTTCAAAACTGCAGTTATTCCAGTAAGGGATGTGTGTGATTTCGTAAAGTTATGTTTATTAATGAATTTGTGAACATTTCTAAACAACATTTGTAGTGGCAAAGACTCCTGTTTGTCTACCACATGGGAAACGCCATTGACCAGTGTTTAACTCGTGCTTCCTCTTCAGTAAAATCCACAAAGTTGCTGGCACTCCGACATAACACCATTATATGCCGATGGTGCCACCTCCTATAGAGGACTCGAACACACAAACACACAAGACAACCAGACGAAACAACACTTAATCCAAAATATTTAAAATAAACTCAATATAGACGGTAATATGGCTCCTACAACAATGTTGTAGAAACACATGGTTGATCAGTCACCGATTGAATCGAGGGTAAAGGTCCTCCAACATCACAGCAGATCAGGACATGTAATATACAGTGTATATATATATATATATATATATGAAACTCTTTAAATATGCTGTTTATTCATCTTTCTTCTGACAGTCTTACTAAAAGGATGAACAGAAGATCTGCTATGAAGGCGTCTGCGGTGAGATGATCACAGTTATTTACAGTGTTTTTCTGCATGCAGAGATGTTTCCTACAGCCGCTATGAGCCGTACAGAGATATGAAGCGTATAGGACACCTGATTCTATAGTTCTGGATCCAGTAAACAGTTCATCTAAATATTAAAGTCAGTGCAGTTACTCTATCAGATTTTAAACATGAACTCATCTCCTTCTGTCGCTGTAGATGTCTGATCCCAGTGAAGACACATATACAGCTCTTGAGCTCAAGTCCACGACCTCTGACCTGTACGACACACTCACGGTAAGTGAGACGTCAAAGTCAGATCATCATCACAGATGATCACATGACCGATCTCTCGCTGTCTTCCACACAGACCGTTCGTCCCAGACCTCCTGAAGACTCTTGATCCTAAACATGAGAATCCATCAGTAAGTGTCTGAACTGCAGCTCCTCTCCATATAATCAATACAACTCTCTTCAGTTCTAGTTTGATTGTTTTATGAAGCTTGTGGAAGGTTTATAATGTTGTTGATGAACTTCAGTCAGTCGTTCTTCTTCTTGTTGTTTCTTCAGATCAACAGGAAGATGCTGCAGTGAGAGGCGGAGCACAAAGGAACCAATCCTGAGCTCTGTGGGCGGAGCCACATATGATTGATAGCTGTCATTAGTGAAGAGTTGAAGCGTTTTATTTATGAAAGATGATGTAACAGTGAAATTAAATGAGTGTTATTGTATAGAAATAGAAATGTTAAAGTGAAGTCAGCTCACTGTTTTAACATTTTAAAATATCTTGTCCTGCGATATTTTAAGTGTGCATCTTCACAATGGACAATGTATTGTTTTTTTGGTCTGAATATTATCAGCTTCAGTTTTCTGTCTGTGTTGCTGTAACTTTCCCTTTAAGTGATCAGTTTTATTTGTGATCTTCTCATGTGTTTGTTCAAATCCTCAAACTAGCACCAGAGGTCAGCATCTCTGCTCCTGACATCAACACTGATGTGCATCAGCTGTCAATCACTATTATTCATCTTCATGTGTATGGTGTTTTATACTGTACTGTGATTAAAGTCCTTCATATGTTTGTTTTATAATTCTGAACGCAGCCATTCAACATCTCCTCTAGTTTCTTCAGTCTCTGTTTGCTTTGTCTTCTTACATCATTATTATTTTAATGTTTACTTGTATATTTCCTGCTTCAGGATGCATTTTTATTAAGAACATTTAAATGACATTTAGATGCCTCATTTGAATATCAGTTGTGATTGGTCAGTTTCGTAATGAGAGGAGTTTATGCTTGTCAGCCTCCTCTGGTTTCCTGAAGTCATTCAAACTCATTTGGGCTTCAGCAAATGAAAGAAAAGTGAAATAAAAATATGCCTTTCTGCACAAGTTCTGCACTTAAGTAAGTAAAAGACGCCTGCTGCTCATCTCACTGTCACGTGTGAGTACAGATTAATTTGTTCTTTAAAAACCTGGAAATTGTGTTTGAATGAGATGATATAAGGATTTAATATGTATCCTTTATAGATGTACCAAAGAATGTTTCAGTGTCCATCAGTCCATCTGGTGTAATAGTGGAGGGCGATTCAGTGACTCTGAGCTGCAGCAGTGATTCAAACCCTCCTGCAGAAATCAGCTGGTTTAAAGGAGGAAAGTTTGTAGGATCTGGAAGAATCTACAGCATCTCAAAGATCAGCTCTGATCACAGTGGAGAATACAAGTGCAAGTCCAGAAATAAACATGGAGAGAAATACTCTGATGCTGTGACTTTAAACGTCATGTGTGAGTTATGCATCATATTCTATATTTTAACCACACACACCTGCTTTTTTCATTATTTGTCTGTATATTTTGGTCTGGTTTCACTTCCTCCATCTAAACTGAAGAATTAATTCACACTGAGATCGTTTATCAGATGGTGAATTGTCTTTGTGTAAACATTTGCCCCCGTTTCAGACTAAAATGTAAGTCTGAGCTGTTTCAACTGAAAGAAACTTGCACAGACTGATCTTAAAGTATGTCAGTGCCATTGTTTTGTCTCAAGATGCACACCAGTAATGTTTTTTCTAAGCCTCGTTTATGAACATTTCTTAAATGTCCTAATTGAACTATGGCCTAATCCTGATTTAGTCTAAGCCCTGTCTGTGAAACCAGGCCATAATGTTAAAATTAAGTCATCAGAGCAAAACACCTGAAGTGATGTTCGGTGGTGGATACAAGCGCTTTCCTATTTTACAGCGTAGTCCTGCTATTAAATCATAATTGATCATTTTACCCTGAACTTCTGAACTAAATCATAATTGTGCAGCTTCACAGTGGAAAATGTATAATTTCATGGTCTCAAAGTGCTCAATATTATCAGCTTCTGATAACTAAGCACTATTTTTCTGTAGTTTTAGTCCAGTAATGTTGTCCTCTTGTTGAGGGAGGGACACTGATATTTCTGTAACTGTGTAAAAAAACAAAACAACAAAAAAAATGTGTTAACCACGCAAAGCCAGTGAAGCTAAAGTGCATGTGTTAAAAGAGTCAGTCATTTAGCTGCTGTTGATCTGATGAGCTTCAACACGGTAAGACAAACACACTCTGATGATTATTGCTCATATAACATACACTGTAAAAAAATATTGTGATTTTAACAGTAAACGACTGTAAAATGCTACAGTAAAAACCTGTTAACTGGTTAACAGTAAGTTTCCATACTATATTCGGTGAATAAATGTAATTACATTTAATGTGATTTCACAGTAAACTACTGTTAAAAATACGTTTTTTGGAAGTGAAAAAGAAAAAGTAATTGCATAATTTACAGTGAAAAAACGTAAATTGACACTCCCAGAATTCCCTGGAAGACCCTTCAAATTTGATGTTTTTTTGTTGAAATAACATGTTTCCTCTTAGTCTTATCAGTTGTGTACACTAGGGTTTAATCTTACATCTAATGTTGTTAAATTAATGTTTATTGCATTATTTCAGTATCGTGTGTCACCATGATGGGGTTTAGTGTTTGTGTGAGTGACACTGTGCACCTTCTATATTTTTTATATATTGTCCTTCTCAGCTCGTAGAAAAGCTGTTTTTGTGATGAGTTTTGGTTCATCATGTGACTTTCTCATCACCACCACGTTTTTGTTTTTTTACGGTGAAGTTCTGGCAACCACAACTGCTGGTATTTTACCATAAATGTCACAGTTTTTTTTTACAGTGTACATGTCTTAACATGAGAATTGTTAGGAATAGGGTGATATACATGTACTGTTGATGAGTGTATAGGTGCTGATTAATGCTGTATTATAGATATATTTGATGCTGATGTCGGTCAGAATGGCTCCTCGTCTTCCTCTGATCTTTCTGCTCATGATTCACGGTGAGTCTCTGTTACATTCACATCACAAACACTCTGATGACTTTATTTAAGGCCTCACAATGAGCGGCCTGCTGTTGATCTGATGAGCTTCAACACGGTAAGACAAACACATTAGTACTTTAATGAAAACTGATTACTGTAGATGAAGCTCTTGTAACACATGATTCCTGACATAATTTTATTATCAAAGACCTGATAATGAGTGATTATGAGCAGTTTTCTGTGCGATGTTGATGAAACAGGAAGATTAGATATCATTGGGCTTGTCCATTTTATGAATATCCAGTAGTTCTTCATTACGTCACAGTCTTGAATATGATTGGCTGATTTCTTACTTGTTAGTCAGAGTGAGGCGGTTTAGGGGAGGGACTTTCTCACTCTTCAGAGCATCTGATTGGACAAGCGTATCACCAGATCATGAATATTTTTGGCCCTTTTTCTCAGAAGACAGTGTGTAGATATGATAGAGGATTATGTGTCAAAGGTCTTTATTAGAATATAGAAGATCTCAGAGCTGATAGACATGAACTATATGCCATAAAACTCACTGACCTCTTTAGTCTGGTTTCACTTCCTCCATCTAAACTGAAGAATTAATTCACACTGAGATCGTTTATCAGATGGTGAATTGTCTTTGTGTAAACATTTGCCCCCGTTGCGGCTGATGAGCACTTTCTTCTGTCCTGTTCTCACATATTTCCTTTTAAACAGTAAGTTTATGTGAGAAACGTCAAAGTGTCTTCTGTGTCTTCTATCCAGTAGTCTTCTGTTATTTGCTAGTCAGTGTCATGTGGTTTAGGAGGGACGTGCTCATTGTTCAGAGCATCTGATTGGACCAAAAATCTGTCTAACACTAGAATATTTTTGGCTCATGTTCTCAGAAGTGAATATGTATATGTTAAATATTTACAGCTGATTTCCTGGTTCTCTTTTCACTCCTTTTTCTCTGTGCTTTTATTTCTGCTTTTCTGCAACACCCTTCATAAAAGCAGATGATGAACTTCACAATTTATCACTCATTAGATTATGAGAAAATTCGCTTATATTTCCTTGTAATGAGTTGCTGTTTTCAATGAAAAAGTATCATCATGTGTTCATGTTCTGTTGTACCTGATAAAACATCATTTTCATCCTGTTGAATTCTGTGTTTCAGGGGTTTCTGGTGCTGGTTGGGATGTGAGTTACAGACATTCACACATCTGTGCACTAAAGAACTCATCAGTGATAATGAGCTGCACTTATACATACCCTACTGGATATAAGATCATGAAAGTGTTCTGGACCAAAAACCCTGTAATGGGTGAAGAGCCTCCAGATCTGTCTAAGGATCCTGAATACAGTCAGAGGCTTCAGTATCTGGGAGACAAACAGCAGAACTGCTCCATCAGACTGAGTCATGTGACACAGAAGGACGAACACAAGTACTGTTTCAGATTCATCACTGATCAACCTGATGGAAAATGGACTGGTTATCCAGGAGTGACTCTTACTGTGACAGGTGACTTTCATGAGGCTGAGCTCTTCTTCTGTGCATTATGTTGAATAATAATCAGTGTATGACAGCAGCACTAGATATAATGTGTGTGTTGTGTTCAGATCTTCAGGTGGAGGCTCCTGAGAGAGTGACAGAGGGTCATAATGTCAGTCTGACATGTAAAAGCAGCTGCACTCTGACTGACAGAGCAACATTCATCTGGTACAGAAACTCACAGCCATTAACTGAGAGAAGAGACGGAAACAATCAACTCCTGCTGCAGTCAGTCAGAAGAGAGGATGCAGGCAGATACAGCTGTGCTCTACATGGACACAGTTACACATCACGTGATGTGCAGCTGAATGTCAGATGTGAGTATATTCTTTAAAGGTTCGCTTCACTCGTCCCTCCTTTTCTTTAAAACAGCATAAATCAGGTTTATAAGTGACACGTACAATGGAAGTAAACAGGGCCGATCCCTAAACATTCAAAATACTCATTATTTAAATAGTACATCCACAAGATGTGAAAACAAATGTGTTAACATGATTTTAGTTTGAAAGAATGCTTTAAAAATGTATACAAAATTGTACAACTTCGTTGCTTCCCATAACAATGCAAAGGAGCTGTCACATTTACCGTTGGTCTGTGAAATTCCGTGGGTGAAATCACAGCAACGTCCCCAGTGTTAAATTAACAGTGTTAGTGTTAACAGACCATTAAACTGGGTAACATAGGACTCTGGGAACATGGGTAAGCTCCCATCTGTGATTATATTGCCCGTGTGTTGTAAAAAACAGATTAAACACATTACAGACAGACCCCAAAGCGGAGGCATTGTAAAATTTTGAGCAGCACTGAGTGAAGTTCTGTCATTGTAGTGGATGTTCACGAGGGAGGGGATTTCATGTGAGGGAGAAAAAGTTCCCAGCACAGATTTCACTCTTTTTTTTTTTTTTTTGATCACGTGTATTTGCTGCGCTGACCAACACCTGCACGTGTTTTTGCATCAAAAATTTTGGCAGCACTTAAGCCCTGAAATGACTGCAAAAATAATGATTTAAGCAATAAAGTCAGTCTGGTTAGTAATAAGTGAAGCTGCTGCGGCTGTTTGTGGAGTGGTTTATTCCTCCTCTGCTGAGGTCTTGAGAGATGTAATGTGCTTTATTTCAGTTGATTTCATCTAAAGGCCCGTTCACACGGGATACAAAAGTATCGGTATCGGGCGAGTACTGGAAAAAGTGGTATCGGTGCATGCCTACTTAAGGCTGTGGCTGAAGTCAGTTGTAGTTATTGTGTTTCTCTTTTCTTCAGTGATTCTGCTTGTTAACAGCAGCTGTTCATCACTAATGCTCAATCAGCACTTAATTAA